ATGATAACACTGGTCGTTACAGATGCCTATTGCGCCTAGTTTTGTCCTCACCAGTATTCATAAGTGGTTGTTGTTGGGTATTACAAGCACATAAATAATGATGGTCATTATTCTTATTATTGTTAGAACGATGGTTCTCCCTCAGTTACATTTCCTGAATATGACAAAAAAAATCCTCGGGCACGAACCTTGAAAACAAAAAAAAAAAAACCCGGGCATGTATCCCGACAAAAAAAAAAAAAAAAATTTGGGCACGGTTCCCGAGGCGCGCACGTGCACGATTCCCGAGGCGCACACGGGCACGCTTCCCGAGGCAAAAAAAGGCACGATTCCCGAGAAACAAATTTGGGCCCGATTCCCGAGGCGCACACGGGCACGCTTCCCGAGACAAAAAAAAAACAAAGGAAAAAGGGAATAAAGCAACATGATGCGTCACTCTCGAGGAAGTCCCATATCAGCTCCTCATAAAATGTTTAACAGCTCTACACTCTCTCCCCCCATGCACTACATGCGCGCGTGCACCCCCATATGGGCTAGTGCGCACACGGACCCCAAGTGCGCGCGAACTCTAGCACATCAGCGTCCTACAATGCGTGTCGCCTCTCCTACCTCGTAGCACGCGCATACCTGAGGTCGAGCGCAACTCTCAAAATTCTACATCAAATCACGTGAAAATTTTGACGTACTTTACTAAATCGCGCAAGAATTTATGTGCGCTCCACCAAATCGCTTGATAGTTTCATCTCGCTTAACCAAATTGCGCGAGCTCTTCAACGTGCCTACCAAATCGTGCTCGCTATCAAACGGATAAAAAGAATATATATATTTCTCCACGCCACGCCAACGATAAAAAAAAAAAAAAACACTACAACACCGATCTACTCTCGACACGATCCGGTACCCTCTTCGACGTGGCTCCCACATCGTCTCGAGAGTGGGGGGCTTGCGAGACAACTCCCACGAGGAGCCAACTCGCTCAGTACTACCACCCGCAGCGAGACAACTCCCACGAGGAGACAACTCGCTCGGACCTACAACCAGCAGCGAGACAACACCCACGAGGAGCAAACTCGCTCTGTCCTACATCCAGCAGCGAGACAACTACCACAAGGAGCAAACTCGCTCTGTCCTACATCCCGCAGTGAGATAACTCCCATGAGGAGCCAACTCGCTCGGTACTACAACCCGTAGCGAGACAACTCCCATGAGGAGCAAACTCGCCCGGTCCTACAACCAACAGCGAGACAACTCCCACGAGGAGACAACTCGCTCGGTACTACGAACCCTCAGCGAGATAACTCCCACGAGGAGACAACTCGCTCGGTACTACGAACCCTCAGCGAGATAACTCCCACGAGGAGCCAACTCGCTCGGACCTACAACCCCTTGCGAGGAAAATCCCACGAGGAGACCACTCGCTCCGTCCTACAACCCGCAGCGAGACAACTCCCACGAGGAGCCAACTCGCTCGGTACTACGAACCCGCTGCGAGACAACTCCCACGAGGAGACAACTCGCTCGGTACTACTACATTATCAGCGAGATAACTCCCACGAGGAGCCAACTCGCTCGACACTACAAATCCGTTGCAAGGCAACTCCCACGTGCAGCCATCTCGCTCGATAATAAGACTCGCTGCGAGACAACTCCCACGAGGAGAAAGATCGCTCAGAGCGACATCAATCCGCACACTCGTCAGTCGCGCGTCATCCAATGATTCTACAACTTCGCTGCGAGACAACTCTCATGAGGAGACAACTCGCCCGAAACTCACTATATAATCGCAAGCTCAAGTTAGCACGATTACAACCCTAGAAACACTTAGAAATATTATGGGAATCTATATAGCCTGGCCAGCTTGATTACTCAAATTTATCTACTTGTTTTCGATGGGTCCTTCATTAAAACGTGGCCACGGTCCAAACATATTTACGACCCACGAGGTCTAACAAAGGGCACGATCCCCATATAAAAATATTAAGAGCCTGATCCCCTCCTCAAGTACATCACGTACAAAGCTATATGTAAACACATACAAGCAACGCGTCACAACATTGACAATGTCGATAAATAACAACTCCCACGAGGAGAATACTCGCTCTGTGCTACTACATTATCACGAGACAACTCCCACGAGGAGATAACTCGATCAACTCTATTACCCCACGACGAGACAACTCCCACGAGGAGATAACTTGATCCGAGCTATTACATCATCGCGGGACAACACCGACGACTCAAATAACTTACATCGCGACAACTTGGTTGCGCTACGCGCCAACGCACCTTCACGCCCCTCCGACACACGCTCCGATGCGTTTTCGCACACCATCGACTACTACAATTTTTACTCTTGACACGATATGTCGCCCATTTCAACATGGCCCCCACATCGACTCGAGAGTGGGGGGCTTAATGATATGCCTAATTGGCCCAACCCAATGGGCCTACAAATTATTTACGTACTGGGCCACGAGCCCAATATCGAAGACCACTATCACCGAGGCCCAATTACCTTCAAGCAAGGTTTGGGCCTGACAATCTCAACTAAGCTATAAATACACCTTTTAACTCATTCCATAAGGTACGTCCTATTAACTGAGCAATACTACAATACGTATTCTCTGGACTATTTCTACTATCAGCACGTCTGACTTGAGCGTCGGAGGGGTTTCCGCCGGATCAACCCCCGGCTTAGTTCATGTGTTCTATGATCGCAGGTACCTCAGGATCATCAAGTTGTCAAGCTATTGATCTGCTTTGCTCTCCCAGCTCATTTTCTACACCACCCTAGGTGAGCTATATTTTAGCATCATCAATATATATATATATATATATAGGTCATTTTTGTTGTTATCAGTGAACATTGATGTTGTCAAGTTACATATGAATCATAAGTGTCGAATTTATTGTCAAGTTGATAGTTCAGGGGAAGTGAATGCCAAAATTTTAAATGTTTCGGTGAGGGTGCCTGAAATTTATCCAACGAATAATACGTATAGAATTTAACAGTGTAAATAGGCAATGGAAAGTGTACCGTTGGAGCTGGTCCGCACAATGTGAGAGATACTTCAACAAGGTAACTATCTTATTAAGTCGGATCCCAACAAAATGGACCAATAACTGGTTCTCGAAACTCACAATTCTATTTTTTCTATAAATATATGATAATTCTCGTATTCGTGATCAGAGTTATATTAGATGCTTGGGGAGACAACATAAGCAGTCAGATATGTTCGCGACTCTGCTTTTTTACATTTAGTATTTGCATCAAATAATGTTACATTGGATCGATATTTTATACGTTAGATACTATTAACAATTGCATATAACATCAAGAGTTACTGGGCGTGTTACAAGGGGAAAACGCCTTTGAATCCATTCCTTTTTTCTTCTTCATTTTTTTTTCTTTTTTTTTTCCCCTTTTTCTAGTAGCTTTATATCAGGCAATTGCATCCTTTTTTTTTCAAAACGAAAAAAAAGAAATGTTCTTGTAATTAATTGGCCATTACAATACAGTTACACATCTATAAATTAATACAGTCGGGACTAGGGAAATTCTATTAATTCATCGAATTATTAAATTATCGAGTTGATAATTTAACACGTTTTCACCCAGTCGGGACCGAGAGAAACTATTATTTAATCAGGATTATTAATTTATCGAGGTTCTATTGTATACTCATTCGAAGAGATTCAGACATTCGACCGCAGTGGGAAAAGCCTCAATACCACAATTAGATTAAGCATTGATAGTTAACAGACACATGCGAATACATATTCACCGTCGTAGACACTACATTTGGTCCCGGCGGGGAGGAAATGTAAAATAAAAGGAAACATATTGAAAAATATACACAAAGTTGTATCAGTTACTACAAACAAAAGTTAAGCTCAATGTTTTCAAATTCCGATGTAATTATTGAAAAGTTAGAAAACCAACTTTTATATTCGTGCAAATAATCAATCTCTCCGAATTACAATAATATTGAAGATATATACAATTGCAATTTGCAAGCTAACCTGACAAACATATTTGTTTGACTTTTGTTTTGTAGCTGATACATCTCGTGCTGATTGCTATAAACGCGGCTCTTTCACATGTACAAACATTAATAATATGTGTGTGCATGTATTTTAAAATGTCTGAAAGGGCATATTGGTAGGTGTTTATGATGAAGACCTTATTGTTATCAAATGCCAATTGCTGACTAAGTCGCTAATTAGACAACTTAATTCACACCACATTTAATCATTCCAGCTTAATTATCATTTTGACTTTGCTCTTCTTGTTTGTCTCCAAGAAATCACCAAATTTTCTTTCACCATAATCTGCTAATCGATTATGTGAAAATTGTTTATCGAAAAAAGATGGCTGCAGCTTATGCAGCTTTAGTTTCTCTCACTCATACTCTTGATCAGATCCTCCTCCACCCACCTCCTACCCTTGATATCATTTTTGATAAAGATCAGATTCAATCTCTACGAGATAAGGCCGAGTACATTTTGGTAGATTTTTTCGAAGATTATACAAGTAGTGGAGGCAACAAAGAGATGGAAGGCTTGGAGACGATGATCGGTGATGCAGCATATGCAGCAGAATATATCATTGAGTTCAATGTGATGAACCAAATTCTTGGAAGATCTGCAGCCGATAGAGAAGAAAGCTCCAATCTCTTGTTTGAAGGTGTAGACATTTCAATACAAGAGTTCCTTTTCATTGAGAAAGAGTTGGTGAGATTCAAGAAAGATATGCAACGACCTAATAACTACTACTTAACGACAACAAAAGCTAGTTCTTCTTCTTCATCAAGGCCTCTTCTTCTGGCCGGTGGCAAAAACAACATGGTGGGATTCGACAACCACATGGATGAAATTATGGGCGCTCTCTCCACCAACGAATCTAATCTTCGGATCATCTCTATTGTTGGAATGGGAGGCATAGGTAAGACTACCCTTGCCACTAATGTTTTCAACAATCCCTTTATTGTGGAGCACTTTCAGCTACGTGCTTGGTTTACGGTATCCCAGGAATATACTGATAAGAAGATTCTCCTAGGCCTTTTGCATCAGATCAACAATACATATCGAAATGCACATGAGATCGTTGATGATGATGATGCAATAGGAGACAGACTGCACAAAACTCTATTTGGGAGGAAGTATTTGATAGTAATGGATGACATGTGGGATATCAAAGCATGTGATATGGTAAAAAGGTTCCTTCCTGATAATAATAATGGAAGTCGAATCTTGGTAACTACTAGGCTGATGAAGTTGGCTGTAGATATTGGATCTTGTAGCCCTTATCAACTGAATCTTCTAGAAAAATCACAGAGTTGGGATTTACTCCGTGAAAAGATATTTGCAGAAGAACGTTGCCCCGATGAATTGGAGGGAATTGGAAAAAGTATTGCGACAAAATGCAGAGGACTTCCATTAGCCCTTGTTGTGATTGCTGGGGTTCTTGCAAAGTCCAAGACGGAAGAACATTGGGTGTCAATTGAAAAAGATGTAACTTCAGCAGTAAACAATCAAGATGATGAGTCCTGCATGAAGATACTATTGTTGAGCTATAATAACTTGCCTATACATCTAAAGCCTTGTTTCCTTTACTTTGCCGTGTTTCCTGAAGATCATATCATCAAAGTGGAAAGGCTGGTCAGGTTGTGGGTTGCTGAAGGATTTATTAGGCAGTATGGGCATAAAAGCTTAGAAGACATTGGAAAGGAGTACTTGAAGGATCTTATTGATCGAAATCTCATTTCCGTCAATTGGAGGTCAGTTACGGGAGAAGTGACCGGCTGCAACATTCATGATGTTTTAAGTAACCTATGCAAGAGAGAAGCTCAGAAAGACAATTTTATTCTCTCGTTCGCAAGAAAGCTTTATAACCCCGATATTTTAACTTTCATGAAGTTCACACCACGTCTCAGCATTAATGATGGAAAATGGAAAGGGACGAAACATAAGCCATATACATCACAGATACCTACACGGTCTTTGTTTTGCTTCTCTAAAGGGGCTTCAACTGATTACACGGCTCGTCGGTTTCCATTACTACGAGTATTGGATGTAGTTGATATATATCCCAAAGGTGAGATTCTACAGCTGATTAACTCAAGGTATGTTTCTCGCATGGGTCCGATGATGTTGCCGTCTTCAATATCCCGACTTTGGAGCCTACAAACATTATTTGTTGATGGAGAGTTGATACTGCCAGGTGAGATATGGCAGATGCCCCAACTTCGACATGTTGTGGCCAACTCTATTATCTTGCCCGATCCTCCGCCTCCAGATAATGTCCAGAAAATCATACTTCTTGAAAATTTACAAACACTTTCAGGAGTCGTAGATTTTGAATGCACTGAAGCGGTCATTAATAGAATCCCTAATGTGAAGAAGTTGGAAATTGTTTGTGGGACAATTGGGTCTAATTGTTTAAGGAATCTTGGACTTCTCCATAAACTTGAATACCTTAATCTGAAATTAAATACTGGTACTAGTTGCTGTGGAGAAATTGTCTTCCCAAGTTCACTTAAAGTGTTGGTGTTAAGTGAATGCAAGATTCCTTGGGAAGATATGTCTGTTGTTGGTTCACTACCCAACCTTGAAGCTCTCACGTTGTGGACAAATGCTGTTGTAGGCCAAAAGTGGATTTCAAAAGAAGGGGAATTCACTAGACAATACACATTTCCCATGTCTAGAGGAGCTACATCTTGGATGCTTAAACCTCAAGGAGATCCCTTCGGATTTTGCCGAAATAATACCACTTCAAGTAATTGACTTACATCACTATAGCAGCAATGACCTTTTGGCATCTGCAAATGAAATATCAAAGCAACGAGAGAACCTAGGTTACGATGCTCTTTATGTTACAAATATTATATTTGGAGTGCTCAAAATTTGGGTGAAGAGAGGTATTAATCTTGTTGTTGGTGGTGGAGATCCTTATGTTGTTATCACGATGGGCGATCAGGTTTCGTGTTCCTACTTTTGATGTTTTTTTTTGTTCATTAATGTTATTTTCACCCTCTTCATAATATTCTTTTAGATAAAAAGGATAACAAATTTGCATTAAATATTTTGTCGTCCGAATTTTCAAAAACAAATTTGCAATTTAGTATAAATCTTTATGATGCAGAGTGTGGAGACTCGTATTGTGACAAATGATGTTCATCCTATATGGGATGAGGTACTCACAATTTACGTTTTAGATCCTAGCCGTCCAGTTTCTCTGGTGAGATTCTCTAATTTAAGATAAAAATAAATTTGGCAACTAGTTTTGCAATATTTATTTCTCACCATTTTTCTTCGTAGATCCAAAATCTGTAGTTTCAAATATGTGATGTGTATATGCTGATTCATAGTTTGTGTATAATGGTTGTAGACAGTGCATGATCGCAACAAGTTGAGCAACATGGATAACAAGATGGGTAATGCAGTGATTGATATTAAACCATTAGTAGAAGCCAGTTGGGTGCATCAAAATGACCTTCCAAACGGTACAACAATCACAAGAATATTGCCTTCAAGCTCCAATTGCCTGTCTAAAGAAAGTTTCATTGTCTTGAAAAATGGGAGAGTAATGCAGGACATGTGCCTGAAATTGGAAAATGCCGAATGTGGCCAAGTCGAACTTCAGCTCTGGTGGATTGCTTAAATAGAATCTGGTGAAATCAAACTTCACTCGAGTGGTTGAAGTTCCTACTACCACTAATTTACGGGTGTGATTGGATCAAATTAAACATTGAGTAAAATAGTGAAATTGCAATGTAAACTAATTTATACGTTTAACGAAATCATAAATTTAAATGGAAATTTTGTTTTATTGTAATTTCGGACATGTATAGTAAATTTTTTTAATTCATAGGAGGTATAGAAGAAGAAGAAATAAATGTAACATCAATTTGATTAATAAAATTGAAATGGCTAGTCCAAATAATTGGAGAAGAATGTAGTAGAAGGTGACTCGTTGGAGGTTATATTGCCGCAGTTAGTGAATCTTCAAGTTCCAAAGCTCCATACATATGAATATCATAGAGGATATATATCGAGCGGGCGAGTGAGTGGTTTGAGCATTTTTGGACGCAACACGTTTCAGGGGAGGCCAAATAAGTAGCTCATGAAGTAACAACTTTGTCGAAGACGGATTATTTCTCTATTTAAGTGATCTATGTAGGAGAGAAGCTCAGAAACATAATTTTATAATCCCTTCAAAACTGGTAACCACAATGCTTAACCAGATCCGCCTCAGAATTAATGGTGGCCAATGGAAAGATATGACACTAACGGCATCTATTCGGTCTTTCTTAACCTTCTTTTCTGTGAATTTGTCTACTTATACTGCTCGTGGGTCTCCGTTACTACGGGTATTGGATGTGGTTGATAGATATGTCTCTTGCACGGGTTTGATCTTTATGTCGTCGTTTATATTATCCCGACTTTGGAGCCTACAAACCTTAGTTGTTGGTGGAGAGTTGACTCTCCCTATTGAGATATGGCAGATCCTCCTTCACGTGGCGAAACAATCACAATGCTTGAAAATCTAAAAACACATTCAATAGTCAAAGATTTCAAATGTACTAAAGAGGTAACTAAACGAATCCCGAATCTGAAGAAGTTGGGAATTGTTTATCCGACAATTGGATCACTTAGTCTAGCATTTTTTGGTACGCTTGGTCTTTCCAAGTTCACTTAAAAAATTGGTCTTAAGTGAATGCAAGATTCCATGGGAAGATATGTCCATTGTTGGTTCCTTACCGAATCTTGAAGTTCTCAAACTGCGGTCGAATGCTTCTGTAGGGCAAAAGTGGATTTCAAATGAAGGGGAATTCGCTCGACTCAAGTACTTGTTGATTCATGAGTGTGAGTTGGAGATTTGGGAATCAGACAATACACATTTCCCATGTCTTGAGCAAATACATCTCGGAATCGTGAGCCTGATTGAGTTCCCTTCATATTTTGCTGAAATATTATCGCTTCAAGTGATCGACTTACACCGCTGCGAAAATTCCCTTTTGACATTGGCAAAGGAAGTATCAGAGCAACGAGAGAACGTAGGATACGATGCTCTTCAAATTCGAGCTTTAATGCCTGGACTGCTCAGAATTTCTGTGCAGAGAGGTATCAATCTTGCTGCTCGCAATCACCCCAATAGAAGTCCTTATGCTGCTGTCAGAATAGCCATTCGGTGCTCTTTTTCGTATGGATTTTCGATCTTTTATGCTTTCCTTTTTTACAAAAACGAATTGCAATTTAATATATATAAATGATTGCTGCTGTCAGAATATCCAAACAAATTTAATCCCGAATGGCATGAGAATTTGACAGTTGCTGTTTTAGATCCTAGTCAACAAGTTTCTGTGGTGAGCCGCCTCTTTCGTTAGCGATAAAATTAAAACAAATTATTAGGTTGTGCTATTGATCCTTCTGGTTCTAGACTAGATACAAGTTTAAAAAAAAAAATCAGTTTGATATATCAAGAACAAATTTGAGCTTTCTAAAATCAGATTTTTTGTTTTTCAATTGTTTTGAGTTTGAATACTAACTAATGCAGTTTTACTGATCTCAAGATTTGAATCTTCTGCCTTTTTCTTAATGAAAATTCGGTTCGGTGTTTGGTAATTTTTTTTTTTGAATTCCGAGATTCGGTACGGTATACGGTATTGGTGTCCGGTATACCGTACCGTACCAAATACCGAAATATTTAATATATATTTATTTTTTTCTTTTATTTTAAATACTTTAAGGTTATAAAAATATTCTAAAATACTTATAGATTGAAAATGTTTTTCATTATTTACAAATTAGCCTCTATTCATAATCACTTTATGTTTTTAGGGCAGGCTATTGAAATTTGAATGTCAAATTCAAGAATTATTTAGTTTAAATTGTTATTGTACCTTTTCTAAAATAAGAAAATATATTTCGGTTTTACCGGTACCGAACCGTACCGAACCGAATAATTCGGTAAAAAACCATACGTAACCGAAATATATTTTCTTATTAGAAACCGCAATACCTATATGTTGATTCTATGTGTACGTATGGTTGTAGACAGTGTACGACAAAAACGTGTTCATTGCGGATGAGAAGATGGGAGACGCAGAGTTTGATATTAGACCATTTGTACAAGCGTCGAAGATGCATCCAAATGCCCTACCAAACGGTACAATAACCACTAGAATATTGCCTTCAAGCTTCAATTGCCTGTCTGAAAAGAGTTTCATTTTCTGGAAGGATGACAATCTAATGCAGGATATGTGCCTCGGATTGAGAAATATCGAATCCGGCCAAGTCAAACTTCAGCTGCGGTGGATTGATATTCCTGGCTACGAAGATTTATAGACCACATCTTGTTGTCGCTTCTCGTTTCTTCGTATCGTGGATTTTTTTTTAATTGTTTTATTTTTTCTTTCTTTTGTTTGGTTTTTCGTATTTAAAGTTCTCTGGGAATGAAAACTTCACGTTTAAATCCGACAAAATATTGACTTCTGCAATCCATTTTGGACTTCCGAAAAAAATAGGAATTTTTACGAAAGGGCTAATTCCAATAAGTTTACACCCCTAAATTATATACATATAAATTGTACTCACCTCACCGAACTATTGCCATTTCACAACTACATCCCTGAAATATGGATTTTGTCAACCACTCCCTCAATTATTTAAAATTTTGGCATCTATGTATGTATATTAATCCGCAGAAGAATATCTGATATGAAGTTGGAGTTGGCTAGAACCGACATTTTTCAATCCGAGGCACATGTCCTGCATATAAACTGGAAGATTAGGATCATCAAAGTGGAATGTAATCTCTTCATTCCATTCAGGATTAACATCGTTTTTTTTACTGCAGAAGTCTTTCTCACCTAGTGCACGTGCGTTGCACGTGTCGTAATAAATATATATTGTGTTAACATCCTATTATTTGGCAGTCTTAAGAATGGTGTGAGCCAGAAGTAATTTTGACCAATATTACTTAACACACAGAACAAATAGTTTTATACAGAATATTGTGAATATGTGAATACTATGCTCGTAAATAGGCGTTAGATTCTATTAAAAATTCATTGCCCCACATGCATGCATCATGAAAATGTAAGTAATGTGCAACTAATACATTGGGTATCCCTCCACAACTTAAAAAAAAAAAATCACTCCACATTGTTACAAATTTGCCCTGAACTGTATAATGGTGTGGTTGTTAGTATCCGGCTTGATTAGAACTTTGGTTGTCGATCATGAAGTTCCTCTTGATAGTGTTACATATAGTTGGCCATGAGAGAACACCGGTTGAGGCAGATAGACTCCTATATTAAGAATTGTTGGGTATGTGCTTTATTGATTGTCATAGCGAAGCAAAGTCTAATAGGAAATAGCTTACGCTTGAATTTGAAAGGATAGCCCTCATTTTCAACTGGGGAAAGTGGTATTCTACGAATGAAAACATATTTGCCGACGTGTTCGCCAAATACTATTTCCGCATCAATAACATTGGACTTGAAATTCCTACACACCATTCTTGTACCATTTCACAATCCATTTGATGCGTCCAAATTCCTTAGGAGGATTATTGGACAGTTTCTCTTCAAGACTAACTTATGCAGGGGCAAGCCATTTGAAGTCAAAGAATTGAGAAAATCCTCTTCATATTTATTATTTATAACATCGATGGCTTCATCAAAACTCTGAAATGTTCTTGCTTCTCCAGGAAACATAGAAATTAACTTTTCATTCAATTTATCAACTTCCTCATTTTTAGATGCTAGTATTGCTCGAGTTGTCTTGTAAGTAGAGGATTCAACATTACTACTCAAGCTCGGGAAAGTTGAATCAATAAGCCGTGCCATGGAATCCTCTTCATTGTCATACTTGACAATCATCTCTTCAAGAATTCTAATGTTGCCTTCAATATCAGAGGTTTCCTCTCCATTTCCAACTCGAAGTAAGAAATAACCGAATTCATGATCTTTTTGTGCACTCATACTCTTCGACAAAGAAAATTTTATCATGTTATGCCATAGCGCTGATTTCACCAAGATGGCATAAATAGTTTGATGAATTGTACCCCTTGAAACCACGGGTAGTACTTGCCTAAAATCACCACGAAAGACCACTACTTTACCCCCAAAATGCTCATCGTTTCCCATTATGTCCTTAAATAACTTATCCACATTCTCAATAGCCCATCTTTTTGCCATTGGAGCTTCATCCCATATAATTAATTTTGTTGTATACAATAGATTAGCCACACCACTTTGCTTCGATATATTGCAGTCACTGGACTCATTTGCAACGATTGGTATTTTAAAGTGTGAATGAGCTGTATTTCCGCCAGGCATTATTGCAGCGCCAACTCCAGATGTCGTTGTTGCAATTATAACTTTTTTTCTAGATCTTAAATGAGCTAGTGAAGTTAACATCTCCTTCCATAATTTTACTACCTTATTAAAATGATGTACATAATCCATTATGAAAGAAAAGATTCTAGCTAAACAAATTGATTCGATCTTCCTATATTCGAATATTTAAAACAACTGTTAAGTTTACATCACCTGTAATAGTTATGCATATTAAAAATTAAAAAAGCTATGACGACAAAGATGTTTATAGGAACCAGGGAAAAATGAAGATATGTTTCTGAGTAATTAGAATTTTTCATGGTCTTTCAATGGCCTATAATCGAAGGAAATTATGAGGGATAGTTTTTCGAACACACTTACACCGTATAATGGACGTATAATTTTTCGTCAAATTGGGAAACTCTATCAGCTGTAGTGACTCGGGTAAGAACGATTTATTTTCGTCGTTGTCAAGAAGAATTTGGCCTACGTGGAAAATCTACACCATTTTCCCAACTAATACGCACAAATTGTATTTTTAGACCCCCAACGTTCAAAAATCATGTAACAGACTCTTTTACTGTTGATTCTATATATTTTCTATGATTTTATATAAAAAATTATTCTTCTGTAAAACTCTGAACAAAACACAATCTGAATATATTTTGTATACATGAATCGTTATAATGGAGAGTTAATGCATAATTACTTCTTTTTATGACTTATTATGACTTAAGTTACAAATACAAACTTGAATAAGCCGTCCAATCTAAATTCAAACCTATAATAATGAAATGACAAACTTTCGTATTCTTTTATTTGGGGATGGTAATGCATTACAGATGAACATAATATGTTATAAAATAGTATATCTATTCAAAATGTTACAATTTTTGGAGAGTATTATTTAAGTTGGGGGATTTGGTAAGAATTTTATATCTTATATTTTCCACGAGTAAAGTGCAAAACAAAGTTATTTCGGCAATCTTCGAACAATTGGACATCTCTCTGTAAAACATGATACGCGTAAAACCTACGCATAAATTACCGCAAGTGTACAATATCGCGTTTTGTAGAATAGTGAATTCCAGATATCGATCAACAGGGAATTAAGTTCCTAAACTTACCAAGTACCATAATTATACTATCCTAAACTTTATCTAGACATACGAAAGAATGGGGGATGAAATGAAGCTAAAACGAAACAAAAATAAAAACAACGGCCCGCCAGGACAAGCAAGGAATTTCGACGTGTGATGGCTTCTAGGGTAAAATCCACCGGTGTACTATCGATAAAGATCTATAAATCCGAATCTATTGTCAATTCTATGTTCGCTAACCCAGACACTAAAGTACCCTAACCCCCGTCTCCTCCAATGTAGTTAGAGTCTACCCATAGGTCCGACGTCTCCGTTCAGAACCTGATATTAAGAGAGCATTTAGGTCAAGTCCTTAAGGGCTACCCGAGGTGCATCACGTCTCCGTTTTCACAACCCGAGCTATGTTTTCCTAAAATCAAACGAAAAATCCTCTCTCGAGTTCATTCCCATTTAGAATCAATTCAACTGTTGGCCTAACAATCGAAAGCATTTAATACAGGAAAACATAAACATAATCCAAAAACGACAAATAGATCACAGATCTGGGAATCAAAATCTATATATACAAGGTTTCATTTCCCTAAAAGAAAATGCTCAGTTCATTACAAACATAGCATCAAAATGAAGAACACGAGAAATCATAAACTAAATGTAAAGAAAAGCGTATGAAAAACCCGAGTCGAAACCCTCGTCGAAGCTTCCCGCGAAGAACTGGCAAAAACCGAAGAAAAATCGAAGAACAGGTCGAGATATATGTCTTGATATCGAAAAATGAAAAAGAGACCTTCTATTTATAGTAAGATATCAAACAAAAATATCTTGTCTCGATTTCTGTGCCCAGATCGCGATCTGGGCTTCTTGGATCGCGATCTGCCAGCCTCGAAAACTGCGCACCGCCTTCCCACATCGCGATCTAGGAGGTGCGGATCGCAATCTGCCCCAATTTTTCGCTGCTACTGGAATTTGCCACCAGATCGCGATCCGGTGTTTCTGGATCGCGATCTGGCCTCTACATTAACTTCAAACATTTTTTTCACGCTTTTTAAGCCCGAATTGACAAATATGCATTCCACAAAAGTTGTAGCCCTTGAAGTTTTCTTTCTAGATCCACTTGAATCAGCTCAATCGGAGGTTGTATGCGAGAGTTATGCTTGGAATACCAAACACTGCCACAATCCGCGAGAATGCACTTTTGGTTTGGTTCTTGGCTTCGCTTCCAAAATCGCTTCGAATCGGCAAAAATAGCTTCTCTTTACCTAAAATACAAATAAAACAAGAAACGCATAATATATACAAATAAAGCCGAAAACTCGGATGAACGAAGACCAAAACTCGAAGAATTGATAAGTGAAAATCATGCAAAATGAACACTTATCAAAACACGCATAACTCTATCGTCCCACCTCCAAATTCGAAGTGTAAATATGCCTTGGAAAAAGAGAAGAACGCTCTACAACTTTCATGTTTGGAGTTTTAGAAAATTTTGTCTGTATTGGGAGATACTTAACTCGACTTGCATACTTTGATAATTTCTCCAAGGCCCACTTAAGTAAAGTAATTTGGGAGAGTGCTTGAAAAAAAAAATGTCTTTAACAAAAAGGGTTAAATAGACTTTAGACCCATAATGTATACCATACATATCACTTACCCCTTCAAGTATCATTTGTAATACTTACCCCTCAAACACTATTATTTTGCATTTTAAATATTAATACATACAAAATTTCTCTTTTATTGGATGGAATAACCCAAAAGAACAATTAAACTATATTATAAAAATATCTATTAACAAAAATTTCATATTTTAATATTTAAAATAAAAATAGGGTAAATTACACTTGCAACCCCGAGGTCTGCTAAAATAATTTTAAGGTCTTTGTGGTATTTGTAACTACAATGACACCCCCCCCTGTTGGTACAAGTAATAAAGTGGACAATTAAGTCCGGATATCGAACCCACAGTGAATATTTAATTATCTAATCCTAGACGCTAAATTCTACCAATTGTTATCAAGCCCACCCTACACAGTCGAAAGATGATTAATAAGCTAAATTAAACTAAAGCAATTAAAAAGACAAAAACAAGAAAGCAATTAAAACGAAGATTTAATCAATGAAAACAAGCCTAGGATTTTATTCTCCCCCCTATGAGATTATTATTCCCCCAATTCCTTCAATTATGCAAGCAATTAACCCAGATTATTAACCTGAGATGCTAAAATAATCATAACCCGCTTCCGCGTGTATTACGATTCTAATACCCTAGATTCAATTACTATATTCCTATGCAATCAATTCTAGAACACATCATTAAGCACAAATCTCAATAATGGCTACCTAAGAGATTAACTATATTCCTATGTTAATACCACAAAGGCTCTTCTACCACAGTTCTAATTATTAACCCGATCTTCCGATTCATGCGATTAACAATAACATAAAAGCGCATAAAGTGGCCAGTTTCATGAACTTAATAAAACAAGTAGAAGAAATAATCCGGAATTAAAACTTGCATAAAATCATAGAAAAGGGTTCATAAATCCCACATAGGGTACCAAATAAAATCCTAGAAATAAGAAAATTAGCTACTCATGATTAAAAGAAAAACACAAATAAAATAAGTCATAAACGATAAATCTATGCTTAGAGTCTTCGAATTCTTCGTCTTCGTTATTGCTTTGTTGCTCTTGAAATTGCGTCAAAAGATTCCAATTGAGTGCTTGGCTTGGTCTAATATAGGGTGAAGAACTTGGGGAAAAAGGCAGTTTCCTTGTGCAATTAAAATCCCTTTACTGCGCAGCTTCGGAGTCTCGGACGGGGGTCCCACAATTTGAACTAAAACTCGGACGGGGTCCGAGCTTTAAATATTCAGAATTTTGATTTTTTTCACTTTTGGCCCATATTTTCTCCAAAATTTCAGTTTTGACCCCATACTTTTCCAATTCTTCAATTTGTACCTAAAATACAATAAATCAACTTTTTACGCACCAATTATCGTTAAAACACACCAAAAGCTCAAATAAAAAGGTACGATAAAGTGTAAAAATATACACTTAACACACCCCCAAACTTGAACTTTTCCTTGTCCTCAAGCAAAATCTACCAATAAGCAAATAACTCAACTATAACATCTCATCACATAGATCAATGATCAACTTCACGTTTTCAGAACTTGTAATTATAATGACAATTCTTAGGCATTCGCAAGCTCAAAATTCAACAACACTTAGTCACTCACCATTACTAAAAACCACAATTCATACAAATGCTTCAAGCATCCAATATTTGCAAATTAAAGATAGAAATAATTTATACTTACATGCATATGCTTGACTCCAAATACTCACCAAATTATTCTAGTCTACTAATATCGAACATTAAGCTATTGGGATCATTGGGGCTTTGTGGCTTTCAATTGTTAGGCTCTTTGGTTCGAGGTAGGAAATATTATGGGTATATGTGGCTATTTTTCTTTAATTCAGGTGATTACGCCAAAAATTGAAAGATAGGCGTTTGAAACAATGAATTCACCTCTACGGACTTTAATAAACTCGATTCTCAAAAGTTCAAAAGTCTCCACTTTTGCTTTTGAGACAATGGATCGAGTTTTCAAAAATAATTCAACAACTAGTCCTTATTTCTCCCTTCTAGTCTCTTCTTCTTCTCTTTTTCTTTTTTATTTTTTTTATTTTTATTTTTTTATTTTTATTTTTTATTTTTTTTTTTTGTTTTTTTTGTTTTTTTTTAATATATATATAGAAGCATATATATTTGTCTTCTTTTTTTTTTCTTTTTTTTTTTCTCCTTTTTTTTTCGAAGAAGAAGAAGGACCTTATAAAATTTCTCGACCGAACTCCAAGGGGTAATTTTCAAGAATCTCCACCTATTCTACCTTACTCA